ACCTAAATACATTTCTACTAACCCAAAAATACGTGTTGAATTCTTATTCATCCAGAAATGGTTTTAAGTAACCAAATACATGGTTTTATTCACTACGCGGTATTAAACATGAACCCAATGAAAAACGTTAAAAATAACGCTTGGGTCCCACCTTAATTAATGCTCAAAGTTAGCAAAAAATAAAGATTTTGCAAAGCCATTTTCCAACAATCCCCCACATTAATGGAATTCACGAGAACGGACATGCAACAAGACGTAAACAAAGAAAGAAAACATTAAAAAGATACACCACATCGAGATAGGTAGCTTTTGGCTTTGAACCTTCTCTAGTGAAAACCTATCGAACTTACTAGCTAACCAGTGGACGTGATGCCTTGAACTGTTCAGCTATTTGTGTAAGCCAAGACAATAGACTACACATGATGTATCTGCAGGAATGATTTGGTTCTTACGGTTGTGTTCATTTTGGCTCTGAACAACGCCTAGTAATTCATGAGTGCTCTAGAGAATTTAGCCTTCTCAATTCTCACAGAACCGGCCCAGTTCACACTTGGATGTCCAAGCTATAAGAATCATTAAAAGCAAAGCTTATCCTACTAACGCTGCAGGTATCACTCTTCTTATCATAGAAATGGGTAGGAGAAACCTTCCGTAGTGATACGTGAAGTCATCCATAATTCGGTTGTACATTTGAACCTAGATCTTGGGATCTCCAGTCAACTAGGTTGGGTTGCCATTATAGTAACTTTTAAATAATAGGCTTTAATCCCATTCCCCTCGATAAATGGTACACTTGCTCTCTGGCTAGCCCTTTAGTCAATGGATTCGCAATATTCTCCTTTGACTTTACATATTCTATGAAAATTATTCTATGTGAGAGCAAATGCCTAACGGTATTATGTCTTCGACGAATGTGTCGAGACTTACCATTATACATATGGTTCTGTGCCCGTCCTATTGCTGCTTCACTATTACAGTGAATGCATATAGCTGGCACAGGTTTAGGCCATATTAGAATGTCTTCTAAGAAATTACGAAGCCATTTTGCTTCTTCTCCTGTTTTATCTAATGCGATAAACTCAGATTCCATTTTCGACCTTGTAATGCATGTTTGCTTGGAGAATTTCCAAGAGACTGCAGCACCTCCTAAGGTAAAGGCATATCCATTAGTGGATTTTGAGTCTTTAGTATCTGATATCCAATTTGCTTCGATGTACCCCTCGAGTACTGCTGGATATATGGTATAATGTGAGCCCTAATTTTGGGTATGTCTTAGATACCTAAGTACCCTAATTATTGCTTTCTAATGATTGGACCCTAGATTACTTGTGTATCAACTCAATTTGCTCACAGCATAGGCTATATTTGGCCTAGTGCAATTCATTAAGTACATCAAGCTTCCGATTATTCGAGAGTACTCTAATTGTGATATGCCTGCACCTGTATTTTTTGACAAATGAAGACTAATGTCAACAGGTGTTTTAGCAAGACGGTCGTCATGCTTTCCAAATTTCTCCAAAATTTTCTCAACATAGTGAGACTGAGATAAAGCATATCCTTCAGATGTTCTAGTAATTTTTATTCCTAAAATTACATCTACTACCCCTAGATCTTTCATGTCAAACTTTTTGTTCAACATTTTTTTTGTGGATTTAATTATGTCATTATTACTTCCAATAATGAGCATGTCATCTATATAAAGACAAACTATGACATAACCTTTGTCTGCGCTTTTAATATAGACGCATTTGTCACATTCGTTTATTTTAAAACCATCCAAAAACATAGCTTGATCAAATTTTTCATGTCATTGTTTTGGAACTTGTTTTAATCCATAAAGGGGTTGGACAAGTTTACAAACCTTTTTCTCTTGGCCAGGAACTTAAAACCCTTCCAGTTGTTCTATGTAGATTTCTTCATCTAACTTGCCATTCAAAAAAGTTGTTTTAACATCCATTTGATATATTTACAGATTATACAAAGCTGCAATCGCAATCAACATGCGAATAAGTGTCAAAATAATTAAGGCCTTCCTTCTGCCTGTATCCCTTAACAACAAGCCTAGCCTTGTATTTATCTATTGAAGCATCTTCTTTCATTTTTCTCTTGAACATCTAATTATATCCAAGAGGTTTACACCCTGGTGGAAGATCCACCAGTTCCCAAGTATGATTTTGCAATATTGATTCAAGTTCACTATTCATAACCTCTTTCTACAATGGAGTTTCAGGACTTGAAGGCTCATTTTCTAACAGATATGTCAGAAAATCTAAACCAAATGATTTACAGATCCTAGCCCTCTTGCTACGTCTAAGTTCATCTGCTTCATTATCATTTTGGTTTTCATTACTATCCATAGCACTATCAAAAGTTCTTTTATTTGAATTTCTCTCTTCAGTTTCCTTGCAAGGAAAAATGTGTTCAAAAAACAACACATTCTTTGACTCAATAATAGTGTTTACATGCATATCAAGATTTTCAGATCTATGAACTAAAAATCTATATGCACTACTATTATTTGCATAACCAATGAACACACAATCAACGATTTTTGTTCCTATCTTAGTCGTTTTGGGACTGGGGACTTCCACCTTGGCCAAACACCCCCACACTTTAAGGTAATTGTAGGTAGGTCGTCGACTTTTCCATAATTCAAAAGGTGTTTGATTGAATTTCTTGTGGGGTATCCTGTTAAGGATAAAATTAGTAGACAAAATCACCTCCCCTACAAGTTTTGAGGTAACCCTAGACTAATCAACACGGCATTCATCATCTCTTTAAGAGATCGATTCTTTCTCTCAGCAACTCCATTTGACTGAGGAGAATAGGGTGCAGTGGTTTACTGAATAATACCATGTTTAGAACAAAATTCCTCAAATGGTGCATCATACTCACCATCTTTGTCACTCCTTACTATCTTAGTAGTTTTGCCAAGTTGATTTTCAACCTCAAGTTTATATTGCTTAAAAGCTTCTAAGGCTTCATCTTTACTTCTCAATAAGTAAACATAATAATATCGAGTGCAATCATCAATAAAAGTAATAAAGTACTTTTTACCTCCTCTAGTTTGAACAAATTTTAAATCATGGATATCTGTGCGAATTAAACTTAGAGATTCAGTACTTCTTTCTACTTCATTAAATGATGCCTTAGTGAGTTTTGCCTCAACACAAATCTCACATTTATGATTAGGATCAAACTCTAAGTTTGGTAAACATTCTAATGAAACAAGTCTACGTAAAGAATTAAAATTTACATGTCCTAACCTACCATGCCATAAAAAAGAACTCAACAATATAAACAGAAGATGTGTTCTTATTATTAATAGCCAAATTTGGTACAACAGTATTTACATTGAGTTGTAAAAGCCCATTACTCATATAACCTCGCCCCACATACATGCCACTCTTGGAGAGTAACCCTATCAGATTCAAAGACTAATCTAAACCCATTCTTGATTAACAATGACCTAGGAATCAAATTCTTGAGAATCTCTAGCACGTAGAGTACATTGTTAAGAGTGAGTTCTTTCCCCGAGGTCATTTTCAGCATGATCTTTCCTTGTCCTTCTACAGTTGAAGTGGAGGAGTTTTCCCATAAAAAGTTGTTCCCCACTTTCTATCACTTTGTAGGTTGTGAACATCTTCTTATCTGCACAGATATAGCGGGTTGCTCCAGTATCCACCCACCACTCCTTGGGATTGCCCACCAAATTTACTTTAGAGATTACAGCAGCAAGATTGATGTCTGCCACTTCATCGGAAAGATAAAAATCCTCGACTATGTTGGCTTGTGCTGGCTTTTTGCTTGAACTCCCTCCGTTCTTGCAAACATGACAATCCTTAGCACGATGTCCATCTTTGCCACACACAAAACACTTGCCTTTGAACCTCTTGTTGAACCCATTGTTGATCTATTTATTGATCTTACTTGTGGATCCTTGTTTGGGACCATTGCCATCATGCTTCCGCTTTTTGTTGTTGAACTTTGACCCATGTTCATGTTCCACAACATTTGCTTTAGTTTGCATGACATGGTTTTCTGACTTCTTGTCGGAACCATGGTTGTCCTCCTCAATCTTGAGTCGCACTATCAGTTCCTCCAATTTCATCTCCTTGTTTGGTACACCTAACTCCTCGATCCAAAAATTCGATGGGAATGAATGTTGGATGGCCAACTATTTATAGGAGGAATGGTGGCTATTCGAACAAGTACCAACAGGAAAAACCTGTTTGGAACAGGAACAGATCTGTTCAGAATAGAAACAGATCTGTTCAGGTGGAAATTGCACCTGTTCGGATGTGTTTGGGTGAAGAAAAAAAAAATGGACCAATTTATTTTGAATTTTGAAACCAAAATTAAAAATAAATAAATAAATTACAAAAGTCTTTGGCCCAAAAAGATAAGTATTGGGCCGGACAAGTCCAATCCAACTTCACACCTCGCACCCGCGCCCAGTCTAACCCGGCCTGTCCGGGCGGACGGCGGTGGTATGCGCGTGTGGTTTTTGTTTTGGGTCAAATGGGTCTAATCCACTTTACCCATAACTCCACCCTTCCACAAACTTGGATATCCCTTGGGGCCTATCTGAAGTATTCCAAGCTAAGGTATATAAACTCATTCAAAACCATAAGCCTTTCTAATGTGGAATAAGCACATTTCACAAATGTGTAGGAAACCCACCAAAATCCATTTCTATGAACCCGAAAAATGCGTGTTGAATTCTCATTCATACAAAAATGATTTTTAGTAACAAAATACACGATTTTATTCACTACGCGAAATTAAATATGAACTCAATGAAAAACATTAAAAATAATACTTAGATCCCACCTTAATTAATACTCAAAATTAACAACAAAAAATAAATAAATAAATAAAGATTTTGTAAAGCCATTTCCCAAGAACAACATATGATATACGGTTCACATTTTTTTATAAAAAATTAAAAATTATTAAAATAACCGGTTCCAACCGACCCCTAAACCTGAATAACATAGGATATACGCAACCTATTAACACAAAGGCGAAAGCGAAGCAACTCGTGTTTAAAACCTCCCTCATGAGTCGGCGCAGACCATCCTTCAATCGCGTTCCGAGACAAAACTCTATAAATCCACTGCTACTACTCCACAACCACATGTATAACTAGCCCACATAGAATTGTAAGCACTTTCTCTTTCACAATCCCTCTTCTTTCTCTTCTCTATCTAGGGTTTTTCTGCTTCTTTTTCTATCTCCACCGCAATTCGGTTTCTGGGTTCTTGGCTTTCTGTGATTTATTTTTATTTTTTTTAATAATTTGAATTGATAGAGTTTGTCCATAAAGTTTGTCCATAATCCTCTGTTATTTTTATACTCTCTTTGATTGTTGTCACTTGCAAATTTTGATTGGTATTGATTACTGTACAATAAAATTTAAAAAAAGAAAAAGAAAAAAGAAAAATGGGTGACTTTGATTGTCCCCAAATCAGAAATATATGCATTCTTGCCCATGTTGATCATGGCAAGACTACTCTTGCTGACCATTTGATTGCCTCCTATGGGGGTGGAGTACTTCACCCCAAGCAAGCTGGTAGGCTTAGATTCATGGATTATCTTGATGAAGAACAGAGGAGGGCTATAACAATGAAGAGCTCTTCCATATCTCTTCAATACAAAGACCATTCTATAAATCTTATAGACTCTCCTGGTCACATGGATTTTTGTAGTGAGGTATCTACCGCTGCGCGGTTGAGTGATGGGGCTTTAGTCTTGGTGGATGCTGTTGAGGGCGTCCACATTCAGACCCACGCAGTCTTGCGCCAAGCTTGGATTGAAAAGCTTACTCCTTGTTTGGTACTCAATAAGGTTGATAGGTTGATTTGTGAATTGAAGTTGAGTCCAATGGAGGCGTATACTCGTTTGCAAAGGATTGTTCACGAGGTTAATGGAATTATGAGTGGATACAAGTCAGAGAAGTATCTTTCGGACGTTGATTTGATGCTTGCAGGTCCATCTGGGGAAGTGGATTTTGAGAATCATGAGTTTGTAGAGGATGATGAGGAAGATACGTTTCAACCACAAAAGGGGAATGTTGTTTTTGTGTGTGCATTGGAAGGGTGGGGTTTTGGTATTAGTGAGTTTGCGGAGTTCTATGCTTCGAAGCTTGGGGCTAGCACAGCTGCGTTACTGAAAACTTTATGGGGTCCTCGGTATTTCAATCCCAAGAATAAGATGATTGTGGGTAAGAAGGGATTAGGTGGAGGAAATAGTAAGGCTCGACCCATGTTTGTGCAATTTGTGCTTGAGCCACTTTGGCAGGTTTACCAGGCTGCTTTGGAAGCTGATGGGGACAGAGCGGTACTTCAGAAAGTCATTAAGTCATTCAATTTGTCTATACCTCCTCGTGAACTTCAGAACAAGGATCCAAGAGCCGTGCTTCAAGCTGTCATGAGTCGCTGGCTTCCTTTGTCGGATGCAATCTTATCTATGGTAGTTAAGCATATGCCAGACCCGATTGCTGCCCAATCTCTACGGATAACACGTTTGATTCCTAAGAGAGAAGTTTTAAATGATGGGATTCCTTCGGATGTGCTTGCTGAAGCAGAGCTCGTTAGAAAATCTGTTGAGGTATGTAATTCAAGCCCTGAAGCGCCATGTGTTGCCTTTGTATCTAAGATGTTTGCCATTCCTGCAAAATTGCTACCTCAAAGGGGCTTATATGGTGAGATTTTAAACAATTCTACCGATGATGGTGAATCTGACGAGTGTTTCCTTGCATTTGCAAGGATTTTTAGTGGGGTTCTTTGTTCAGGACAGAGGGTTTTCGTGCTTTCTGCATTATATGATCCATTAAAAGGGGAATCAATGCAAAAGCATGTACAGGAAACTGAGTTGCATTCATTGTATCTAATGATGGGTCAAGGCTTGAGACCAGTGGCATCTGCAAAGGCTGGGAATGTTGTGGCTATTAGGGGCCTTGGCCAGCATATATTGAAAAGTGCTACTCTTTCATCTACAAAGAATTGTTGGCCTTTCTCAAGTATGGTGTTCCAGGTTTCTCCCACCCTTAAAGTTGCAATTGAGCCTTCTGATCCAGCTGACATGGGTGCACTCATGAAAGGCTTGAGGCTCTTGAACCGTGCAGACCCATTTGTAGAGGTCAGTGTTTCTTCTAGAGGAGAGCATGTTCTTGCTGCTGCAGGAGAGGTTCATCTCGAGAGATGCATAAAAGATTTGAAGGAGAGATTCGCAAAAGTAAGCTTGGAAGTCTCACCACCTCTGGTTTCCTATAGAGAGACTATTGAAGGTGAGGCATCCAATCCATTAGAAACTTTGAAGTTGTTTAGTGGGACCTCCGATTATATTGAGAAGACAACACCAAATGGTAGATGTGTTGTTCGAGTGCTGGTCATGAAGCTTCCACCTGCTCTAACTAAGGTGCTTGATGAGAGTTCTGATCTGCTTGGAGGCATTATTGGAGGCAAATGGGGCCATACTGACAAAATCTTGGAAACTCAGAGAACAAGCATTGTGGAAGATGACAATCCAATTGAAACGCTTAAGACACGAATAACAGATGCTATTGAGAGTCACATTCCATCTGAGAGTACAGAGATTGACAAGGATCGGGCTGAGAAGTGTAAAATATTGCGGGAAAGGTTTCTTAAGAGAATCTGGGCACTGGGTCCTCGACAGGTCGGTCCTAATATACTCCTCACCCCAGATTCCAAAGGAAAGACAACTGATTGTTCTGTTCTCGTTCGGGGTTCCCCTTATGTGTCTGAGAGATTGGGTTTTCTGGGTTCATCTAGCAATGGTGATGTAGCTTCTGAGGCATCGTCTGTAGAGACTCATGCTCTGTACCAAGAAGCGGAGAGTCTTGAGAGCAGTGTTGTGTCTGGATTTCAGCTAGCTACAGCATCCGGCCCTTTGTGTGACGAGCCCATGTGGGGTTTGGCATTTGTTGTTGAGGCTTGCATTTCACCATTGATTGGGCAATCAAATGAATCTGAAACTTCTTATCAACAACCAGAGCAATATGGCATCTTCACTGGGCAGGTGATGACAGCTGTAAAGGATGCCTGTAGGGCCGCTGTGCTTCAGAAGAAACCCCGGCTTGTGGAAGCCATGTATTTTTGTGAGTTGAACACGCCGACTGAATATTTGGGTCCTATGTATGCAGTGCTTGCTCGGAGGAGGGCTCGAGTTTTGAAGGAAGAAATGCAGGAAGGGTCTCCATTATTCACTGTGCATGCCTATGTGCCTGTTGCTGAGAGCTTTGGATTTGCAGATGAGCTGAGGAGATGGACTTCTGGGGCTTCAAGTGCTCTACTTGTTCTTAGTCATTGGGAAGCACTTGCTGAAGATCCTTTCTTTGTACCAAAGACAGAAGAAGAGATTGAAGAATTTGGAGATGGTTCTAGTGTTCTACCTAATACAGCAAGGAAACTCATTGATGCTGTGAGGCGGCGGAAGGGTCTCCCAGTGGAGGAAAAGGTAGTCCAGCATGCTACAAAGCAGAGGACTCGGGCACGTAAAGTGTAGGAAGTTTATTTTTTTGCAAGAAGGGACATACTTTATGCGCAAACTTGAATTTTGATGTCAGTTTGGTTAAAGAACGATGATGAGTTCCCAATGTTTTTTTAAAGTGTTGTATGAAATTCTTGGTGATATATGAAAGGTATTTTTGGAATCATGGCCTCTTGTATTTTAGAATACCATGTTAAGTGATTTTACATCTTAGTTGGTTAAGTGTTTTTGGTTGGTCAGCTAACTTGGATTATAGTGTCAACATTGAATTTGGATGCATTTGGAGTATTCCTTAATTGTTTCAATCTCATGGAGATCAATTTTCTGTGAGATTTTCTTGTTATGGCACTCGTGTTTGTGCGTGACATTCTAGTAACTACATGAACACGCAGGTGTGACTTTGAGAGTTTTGACTCTAAAATATAACTAAAACGAAACTATTTTTTGTGATAGTAAGGTCACTGAGAAAATTTTGTTTTAGCATTCAACCCTAGAAGAAAATCACCAAATTCAGAAAATTTAAATTGATTGTGGTTTTGGCCTCCTACAATTATCTAGATTTTCACCCAAGTTTTATTTCCACCTTCACATGATGGTGAGTGTAGTTAATGGTTAGAAATGTCCTCTTCTTTGCATGCTAGTGTAGTTATAAGTAAATTTCATTAGGTCAAAGTCTCACAAATGTGCAGAAAGATTCCAACACCACTATTGTTCCCCACAACACATTTTACAAAGTTCAATGTTATCCAGATTAGTCAACATTTATATGTTTTGATGCAACAAGATGTTATTTGTAACTAGTTTTGTCAAATACACGTGTGTGTGTGTGTGTGTGTGAGATTGGCGAATCTTGTGAAGAAAGAGCAAAAAGAGGCAGTCTCAGAACAATTAAGAGGCCGAAGATGTTGCGGATGCTACTGAAGGTTGTTCATTCATGTTAAACTACAACCTTGTTTTGCTTCAAACTGTAATGTGTGTTGTCAAAATTTTTGATCGACTGTTCCAGTGATTTCATTGTTGCTTTTCCCAAGCTTATGGTTTAGAAGACATGTCGTGCAGAACTGGTTTAGAAGAAACAGCTGATTCTTACAGTTCCTCACCTTTCCGAGTTTCATTAAGACAGTTGATAATTTTTATACCTCTCCACCTTGGTAATCCTAAATCAACAATTCAATCTTTTTCAGTAAAACTTTCAGAGTTTGAGGTATGCCTGTTAAATATCAATTGCCTTGTCACTAAGATTTCCTTCTCTTTTTATATCAACAGGATATGAGTCCAATCCATGGAAGAGGAAGAACAACAAACCATTTACTTATCAAAATCAAAATGACATTACATTAATCAGACATCAATTGTTGACAATATTAAAAAAATGTAGCAGTCACCAGTTTGCCTCCTGGGAGTATAAGGTGAACATTGTGACAGTTAAATGGAAGACTTAACTGTCATCTCCAAGCAATGACTTCAACTCCAGAACTGACATCCTAATTTCTTGGATCTCTTCCAAGCACGAATCGCATCTTACGACCTCCAATAGTTGGTTCTTCTTCTCAGTCGCTGCAACTTTTGCTGTTTGTAACTCTGTTACATGGCTAAATTCCATCTTCAATTCTTCTTCCAAGATTTTCATCTCTTCCTCTTTCAACTCAGCTTCAAACACATGTTGGTGATATTCAAGAATCATATTCTCAACTTCGGTGCTTCCGTTTTCTTTCATCTCCAATAGCATCTCTTTTTCTTTGATGATAGCCTGAAGCTTGTGCTCCATCTCCTCCGCAGATGTCGAACCTTTTTGTACGTCTGTTTGAACAACTTGCACTTCACTCTCCACTTCCCTCAAATTCCTGTTCAAATCTTCAACTTCCTTTCTCATGATTCCAATCTTTTCCTGTGCTTGCTTCATCTCAGTTTGTATCTTGGTCTTCTCCTCCTCAGACTTAAGTAACTCAGTAGCTTTACCACTCAAATGCCAATTTCTCTGGGAGTGGGGAACATCTGTTCTCTCAATGTTTTCTATGGCAAATAGAACCTTTTCACTCTCTAGTCTTTGATTTTCTTCCTCTATTTTTGATTTCAACTGTGCAAGGTCACTCGTTAGTTCAACTTCGAGTTGTTGAAACTTTCTCAGAGCATCCTCAATTTCATTCTTACGGACTTGAAGGCAGGCTAATTCCTCTTTCTTTCGGTCCAGGTAAGACAATGACGCATTTACCCTTGCCCTTGCTTGAACTTCTCGCTGTTCAAAGTAACCAACTGATGAAGAAAAGCTTGAAATCGAGTATTTGAGAGCCGTTAATTTTCTATCTCTTAGACCTCTTCTTTCATGCATCTCACAAGAAAGGGATTCCAGAGATGCATACTCTTGCTTCTTCATCTGAATAGCTTCTTCCATTGCTTCAATTTCTTTCGAGAGCTTATCAACCTCAGTGATTGCTTTCTCGAGTGACCAAAATACGCTAACGGTTTGGGCAGAATTTAGCAGCTTCTCTTGTGCTCTGTCCAACTTCGTTCTAACCAAATCCAAATCTTCGGAGGCCTTTACCATAGTGAGATTCAATGACTTCGTTTCCAAGTCGGAATCATTTTCAAAATCAGTCTGGTTCTCTGCAACTACCTGAGGATCCTCATGACATAAGTTGGATCCATCTTGCATGTCCAAGCTAGGAAAATCAGTTTCCTCCACTAAAACCTTGCTTTCATCTGATGAGGTAGGTTTCTCTAATTCGGGAATTTCCATTCCAATTTGCTCATGTTGCCCTGAGTTCGCTCCTGCACAGGTCGGTGGTTCATCTACCTCAAGACTATCATTTTCTTGGGAATTTCCAGAACATTGGAGACTTTCTCCTCCATCATGCATGTATGATCCAAAGCAATTAGTTTCCTCCCTCATAAGTTCCTCTCCAGAAACATGATGTTCGTCTGGGTTGTGACATTTACCTCCATCCATTTCAACAAGCTTTTCTGGGTAATTAATTTTTCTAATTTCAACAATGTTCTGTCCTCCAAAAGAAAGCATTCTTTTAAATTCATCCCTCTCTTGCATGGCTTTTTCATATAGAGCCATTAATTTCTCATTCTCTTCATGCATTTCAGTAAGTTGATGCTCTAGATTTTCAACTTCCCTTTTCACCTCTAGCTCCTTCTCTTCACCAAATTCACCAAAATGATTGCTATGGTCTTCAGTTTTGTATTCTTGAGGATCATGAACTTTAACCATGCTTTTATCTGCATTTTCTGAATTTGCTCGATCATACAGTTCAATCAGTTTGTTGTTATCCTCAATTAAGACCTTAAGCTTCTTTTGCAATTCGTCATTTTCTTTGGACAAAATAATTGCTGTTTCATGAGCTTCTGCTTCTCTTTGGTTTGCAGCTGCAATGGCATCAACCATTGCCTTAAGCTCCATCTGATCATTCAAAGCAATATTAGGTATTTGCAATTTCTGTGCTTCTTCCTTCTGCACTTTCGAAGATCTCTCTGCTTCTAGCTCAGTTACGAAATCAGTAACATGCCTGCATGATATTAAGTTAGAGAACAAGATAGCTGGAAAGATAGATCGTTTCATTTATTTATATAGATAGATAGAAAACTAAACAAGAACCCAACATTTTTTGGGATAAATTTTCTTTTTCATTTTTGTATTTATTTATTTATTTATTATATATATTAGAGAAGCATCATCAAGTAGGAATAAAAGCAAACAAGGTAGAAATAATCTTATGAATTTAGAAACATCAGCAATTTTTCTAATTGCGATAACTGGGATTGGATAGGAGAAGCCAATTAAAAAGGAAATAATACCTTTCAAATTTATCTTTCTCTTCAAGGCAGAAGTTTAGTTTCTTGCGTAATGTGTCCATTTCTGATTGGTTTTGAATGGCCTGTAACAGAACTCTTATGTTTGTAAATGTAGTTCATGTGGTTGGGAAGGCAATGCTTCAGAATTAGAAACACGTTACTCTTTCAAAGCAGATTACCTGCATGCGGAGAAACTCATTTTCCTCGTTAATTGAAGTATGCCAAGGCGATCCTGGCTCCTGTATAATATATACATATAAGCAACCAATAGTCAGCACTTGAAATTTACAATATTGACAACAACAAAACAAAACAAAACAAAAAACAACGAATTTAATATAATAAAAAAAAAATCTAAATTGAAGCCACATGATAATTAGGAATAAGTGATATGCAGGCAGTTGGTGTGGCTGGCAGTTTTGATATGCTGTCCACTTGCTTTATGTTTTTGTCACTTGGAAGAAGCAAGAGAGTATTTTTGAAAAATGTATACTGACATGAACAGGAATAAGTGAATTAAGGAAAGGGATGGACTAAATTAAGGAACACACACATCGAGTATGTCCTTCCTTTAGTCAGTGATTTATTGTCATTTCATTTCTAAAAGCATATGTAAGCAACAAAGTAGTTTTGGTTCTTGTGCTCTCTAATACAGTTTCTGCTTTCTAATTAGAAAAGAGAAAAAAAGAACTTGGTCTGGTTTCCTTCAATTATTAAGTTTGGAAGATGTACTAGATAAAAAATAAATAAAAAAAAAGAAAAAAAAGAGTAGTTTAGTCATATAAATCCATTGGTCAAGCAGCTTGCAGATGTTGCAATTTGATAATCTATAATTGACATTTGACAATATACAAATTCAGCCTAAAATTTAAGTTACATTTACTGATCTGCAAATTTGAATAAAAAAAATTTACTATGCTAGAAACATAATTAGGAAATAACCTTAGTGGAAACAAGTAGATCACCATCACTTTGAATATCAATTGCCGAATCTGAATTTCCTTTCTATGGCATAAAAATATTTGTAAGCTTTGATAATTAAAAAAGACACAATATCTGTCAAAATCATTCATATTTCATATTTACATTTTATAAAAAGTAAATAAATAAAAACTAGGGAAGAACCTGAACAATTGAAGCATCTGAATCATGCATAAGTTTCCAATCAAGTGCTTCCAGTAACTGCAATTTACTCGCATGGTAAAAGTTTCTATTTCAGGAAGCATGGCGATACGAAAAAAGAGTGAATACAAGAGCAGGGAAAAGAAGTCTCAATAATTTGGGATCTGTTTTTCGCACCTTATTCTGTAATATCGTGATCTGTTCATTCATCCTTTCTCGTTCACCTTCCTCACAAAAAGACTTCAATCTGCATGTTGGGTCATGAATACCAATAAAATTTCAAAATATGTTGTTAGAACATTTAATGAATTGTATTCAAGGAACATAATTCATTAATGCATGACGTATCTCCAGATAGAGCTAGGGAGTATCTATGTTATTTTTCTTTATTGAATATTTACATTATACTTTTATTGTGAATTTTATAGACTTTTCCTCCTGATGTTGTACACAATTTCAATTCTAACTCAAGTTGTATTTCTATTCTTAGACAGGTAATTGGCACTTGTCGATCATTATATGTTCAAATTCACTCATTGACCAAAATCAAGAAAACTATTGATATTACACATTTTCCTCCATACCATAAATATTTGTATTTGAAGTTGATATTTGTGCCTGTATTGCATTTTAGAGAAATACAGAGAATGCATGGAAAAAATACAAATAAAAACAGTTACATGCCTTCTAATTTCTTCTTTTAACTTCAAATTTTCCATGGCAAATCTTGTCACTTCCTGGTTCCTGTCCACCTGGGTGCGTATGACCTCTATTTCCTTAAGATATTCCTCCCTTTCTTGTAAAAGGTGTGCCTCAGCTGATATCTTTCCAGAAGCAACTGCCTCCAGCCTCTTAATTCCAGCTTCTCGAAACCGCAATCTCATTTTTAAGCCTTGTATCTCATCTTCTCTTTGTTTGGCCTGATTTACCCCAAGAATGCCAGAATTCAGTTTTCAGAATTAATTTCAAGATCATACACCTTTATTCAAAATATATAATATAGAACAACAAAGCATTGGGTGGCTGTATAATCCACATCTGCACACAGCTTTGTGGTAAGAACCAATTATTTCTCCTAAAGACAAAAGTACCCAGACATTTCATAATTTTAAGCCACTTCATTCTGTTCTCATATTAAATTCTTTTGCATTGACTCACATGTCTAAAACAAGAAGTTATCAAACAAGTAACAAAATGACCACAAGTTTTTCAAATTGCACATACCAACTGCATAGCGGCCTGATTTTCAGCAGCCAATGCCTGCAATGCAATGTCTTTATCCTTTTCTCTCCGAAAAGCCCCAACAAGGGCAACTTCATATTCTTTCTTCTGAGAAAAGAAAAGAAAAGAAAAAAAAAAAATTAGAACCTATATGTCAGAAATGCTTTTCAATCTCAAGAAAGAGTGGTTACATACCTGTGAGATTCTTTTATCAGACGTAAGTGGACTGATGAGTGATCCATGAAGCCCTTCCCACTTAAAGGATCCTGGAGACCCTGGAAAGGATACTGTCCAAGCATCACTCTCATGGTTTCCAGCTCCCCCATTGACCAGACCTTTGAGACGAGAGACTTCTTTCTGGAGATAACGCAAAGCAAAGATAAATGAACATCTTCAAATCAGCAGAAAAACTTTCTTATCAGCACTAAAAGAACAAATGTTTAATCATCAATGTAGTTGCTAATGCGTGATTAAAAGTGATTCTATCTACTTTACTCGCTCATGAATAGTACAACAAAAGGAAGGATTTAGCATAGCCAATTTGCTAAATACATTATAACTCGACTACTGGATGGCAATCAACCAAATTTTATGTTCACGACAAATTCTTATACGAAATAAATCTTTAATAAACATCAGAGGGCATTTTTTATTTAATAAGGTGTTGTTTGGTAACTGTGATGCGAAGTTTCACATCGCCTAAGTACTAAAGTAATGTTAAGCATATAAGCGTGAGGGTACCATCACCTCAATAGCTAGCTTTTGGGGCTGAGTTCTACTTAAGACCGTGTAACATGGTATCAGTATTCAAGGACAGGTAGGGTGCATGTCCTTGGCCGGCACGCTGAAGGTGCTGCCAAGTGAGCACGCTGGGCATAAGGGAGGGTGTAAGGCGAAGTCCCACATTGCCTAAGTACTAAAGTAATGTTAAACATATAAGCGCACGAGGGCACCCTCACCTCAATAGCTAGCTTTTGGGGTTGAGTTCTACCCAAGACCATGTAACAGTAGCGAAGTCCCACGTTGCCTAAGTACTAATTCTAAAGTAATGTTAAGCATATAAGTGTGAAGGCACCCTCACCTCAAGCTAGTTTTTGGGGTTGAGTTCTACCCAAAACCGTGTAACAATAGCAAAGTCTCACATCGCCTAAGTACTAAAGTGATGTTAAGCATACAAGCGTCAGGGCACCCTCACCTCAGTAGCTACTGTGTAACAGTAACATATACAACTTACAGTTTACAAAAAAATATTAAACATATTTATGTTTATTTTTGGAAAAATGACAACAAAACCTGTTTGGTACACATTTGTTTTAAAAATAAGTGGAAGGGGTGGCCGAAAGTGCTTGTCAATGGTTGGAGAAAGTAGCCTAAGGTGATTTCTTCCGGTGGAAGGTGGCTGGTGGTGGCCAGAGGTGGTTGTCAATGGTCGCAGAAAGTAGCCTAAGGTGATTTCTTCTGGTGGAAGGTGGTTAGTGGTGGCCAGAGGTGGTTGTTGGAGGAGGTCACCAGCAATAGTGGCTGGATGTGGTGCCCAGTGGTGGTGATGAGGGGTGGGTGATGGCTGGAGGGGTGGGAAGAACGAAGAAAAACCAAACTTTTTTTCCTAAACAAGTAAAACCAACTTTTTTTGTGGTTACAAGAATTTAGTAAATTTTTGAAGTATTTGGAAACAAAAATAGATACCAAATGAATTTTATTTTCAGTTTTCAATTTTTTTGTAAATATAAATAGAAAATTTCAAACACAAACCATATACCTAAAGTGGACAACCATGTGAAAATTAGTCAAGTGATCATACAAAATCATATATGTTCTAGTTCTAGCGTGTAGAGTGTTTCAAATGTACAAAACCCAATGTTGCATGAACATTAGTCAAGTGATCATACAAAATCATATTTGTTCTAGTTCCAGTGTGTAGAATGTTTCAAATGTACAAAACCCAATGTTGCATGAACGTCATCTCTAGATGTGTGATGCATCTTGGATACAACATGACATGACATTCTGGTAGTGTCATGTGGCTGACATGCCAAATGCAGGAAACTAGCATCTTGTCTTGTATAGGAAAATTGTAACAAAACTAAAATTCTTTCCAAGTTCCAAATAAAACTTTACAAGACTAATTTATTGGTAATTTAACAGAGTGAAGTGTCTCATTATAAAAATAAAATGAAAAATGTCAGAACTTGCATGATACCTTGAGTTGTTGAATCTGGACCCGCATGGCAAGAACATCGCCAGAAGCATCCTCATTCACAATAGCCTAGCAAATCCAACAGCTAGAAATTTTCAGTAGTTAAAAAAAAAAAAAAAAAAAAGCGCCAAAAGTGTGCAATCAATCACAATTGAGACTCAAAACTTAGGAAGGCAGAGCAATGGGAAAAAAAAAGAAGCCCAAATGATACATGATGGAGCAGGTGAAGTACAGGTTTCAACCCTCAAAAAAGGTACTCAACTTTTAGCATCATAGAACTGTCTATCCATTCTTAAGATGATAAGTAAAACACACACACACTAAATGACCAGGTAAAGATTGCATACATGGTTCTTGATGAATTTAGCACGCTGTGCAAACTTCAATGTACTTAGAGTCTCCAGTGAACAGCTGCAAAGTAATAATCATGCAAAAGTATGTATTTATCGCACAAATAAACAAAAAGAACCAAAGTTGTTGAAAGAAAAGATATGGTTGTGAATGCAACTTACTGAAGTTAAAATTTTAGCAAGACTAGTCAGTTAAAAATACTCAGTTTTTAGGTAAAACCTTGTATGGACAGAAATACGATTATTTAAACTTGGGGCAAAAAGAAAATAATTTGAAACCATTTTATATGGACAGAAAATCTAGAGGCAGAAAGCAATAAACAATATCATAAAAAGAAACACCAACCAACTAGACGGGCTAATATTCGCAATTATAATTGTTTTTGCATTCCCTCCTAGCGAGTCCTGTGAAAAACAAAAGAGAAGCCATATAATATAAATTTATGTCTCACTGCAAGTCAATGAACAATACAGGAACTTGAGCGCTCCTTACATGAACATTCTCTAAACTGAGCAAATTTACTCTAACATATAGGCAAGTTTAACATTGGAAAATACTGGAACTTCCAACCATGCAGGTAATTAATGGGCAATAACTTTTGTAATTGAGTATCCCTTATTAGAGTAGGTAAAAGAAGTGAAAATTGTAAGCTCTATCCATCTAACACCCTGAACCATGAATTCCGCATATAAAATGCTTTACATAAATGACATCCATTGTAGTTAACCTGTAAATAGTGCCAAAAACACATTTGAGTTCTAACTTATAAATACTTCATGTATCTCACAACAATAATGAAGAGAAAGTTAACCGTATTGTATTGCCTGATTAACAACTCTTCTAAGCTACTGAACACTCAATAGCCTTACCACAGCAGGTAATTATATAGATTCAAAGTAAGATTATGTAGTAATTTCTAAATATGATATTGGTAACTTGGTATAATGGACGAAAATGCATTATATTGACCTGAAGCAAAAATGTAAGCTTTGAATCCCGATAAGGAACATGGAGTGACTTCCCAGTAGATATATTCACAAGGTTCATAATCACAAGCCTGCAGATACAAGAATCAAAAAACATTTTAAAGAGAGCAATAAATAGGATTCAAACATTCAAGGACAGATGGTGGACTTCTAAATTTAACTTTACTACAGTATGGAAGAAAAGGAGGGAGAACAAACCCTAATGTTGAAAGAGACTTGTTGATATTAGTAGCTTCCTTCAATCGCTCACCTTCAGCACCAGAACTCTTCTGCCTGTGATAAAAAAAATGATAATAAATTAGTTAATAAATCTGCAGGTACATGATTCAATCCTGTCACGAGGGCTCCACTTTCTAATTATTCAGCATACTTTGATGTTACCTTTCAGAACCTGCTAAATCCACAAGATTAAGTCGAGCGAACAGGTGATGAGTTACCCCTTGGGATTCCCACTAAACATGAACCACTGATTAGAATCCCAACACCCAAATAAAAGCCACTGAAATAACAAGAACAACAAGACTGCTCACCTTACTTTCAATGATGCATGTAAACACACTATGAGAACGGCTACTTGCTAGATTCATATTAGTGGCAGCCACCTTTCTGTTTGCTGCACCCTGAAGCATGATTACATTAATGGAAAATAGGATCGGTACGTTTGTTCTTTGAAAGACAGACATGCATCAACAACATGTGGATCATCCAGACATAAGCATATATTCTGAATACCCAAAGCAAAATAAACTAGAAATTATTAAAGTTTTATAAACTTGAGTAGGAGATTGAGGAAATCAAAATTGATTGTGAACATATTACATCAAGATCAGTAACATGCTTATTGATGCCCAAATTACCAACTTCAGCTCACTGTTTTGTGAATTCCATTTTCTTTATTTTACCAAAAACAAATGACATGCTGCCAACAAAAGCCAGATTTTGCATCTTTATACTTGTAAAGGTTTATCTTTATACTTGTATAGGTTGGAAACCAATTTTCTTGCTTCCTTCCATTCCTTCTCATTTCCAAAACAAGCAGCTAAAGGAAATTATCAAACTTAATTATTCCAATTAACCATTCACTGCCATTTCAATAGAGAAACAGATCTAGATAGATGATCAATGACCTCTGACCAAGTCAAATGGCTGCGAGTCATTTAAAATATCAGATTCAATTCTATCGTAGAAAACTGAGTAATTAGTTCTAGACATTTGTATACATAAAAGTTATGACTTGCTGAGGTTGAGGATCAGGGACAAACAAGAAAATTGAGTGAAGCTAAATGCATACTTGCACAAGCTGTTGAATAACATCCCGAGCACATGTAACTTCAACCTCGGTGAGATTATCTACATAAACCCCTTTCTTGGTGTCTTCTCTTAGCTGCAATGCAGAGATCAAAGCTTTTTAAGTAGTCCTTTCAATGTAGAGAAAATAAGATGGGTAGAGTATCCTTCAAAATGTGGCAAGTTCCACAAATTAAACTAAATAGTATCTAAAACAAAGAAACCAATAGATGAAAATTTTGACATCTTGGCTATACCTGTAAATTGGTGGAGGTCGGATCTAAAAGATCGAGAATTTGTTCATTATATATTTCTAAAAAAGAACATTTACAAGTGAATTTTAACTTTTCTTCTCTGCGTGCGTCCTTTTCCTGTCATGCCACAGTTAAAACACGAAATATTACATTAAAATCTTTGCACAAAAAATGGATACAAGTTTGAGTAGTTGGCATGATATAAAAGAAATTATTCCTCAAAAGGATAAAGAGAAATTGATAAAATTATATTTCACTTTAAGATCTAGCATGCACATGAATTTCAAAAAAAAATTAATAATTTGCTGTATGCAAAAGCCATTTGTGTATATATCTAAAGGTCTAGTACAAAAGTAGAAGTCAAGAAGTTACAGAGTAACTGGTCAAAAACATAAATAAATAAAAATAGTTACAAATATATAACTGAGGGAGACCCCCAAACATAGCAAATAAAAACATTAAAAAGAATCAAATATACGTCCTCTAATGTGAGAAAACTATTATGTAGTCCCTAATGACCATAGTTCCTTATAACCACTAGATCAACTTATCATAGTAAAATATTTCCTATATGAAGAAGGTTTTAAAATATTTCATTCTCAATGTCAAGGAAAAAAAAAAGAAGAAAAAGAAGAAGAAGAATATTATCCTTTCAGTTTAATCATTAAAAAGCAGTTCACTGTTTATATGGCAAGGCTGTTATAGAAGTAGGGGCATATCATTTTACATAAAAGGAAAATGTTTAAGACTCCTAATAAAACTCCCACAATTTCACCCACAATGATGTGGAATGATGGGGGTTAACTTTTGATTTGTTACATAATCATGTGGGGCTTTACTTGCTTGCCATATCATTGTGGGTGTATTTGGGGGTCTCAAATGTGGGTCTCTAGCATTACTTTTACATAAAATATTTCTTCCAATGCAAAAATTAATAAGATTCTCTTATCCGATTCAAATCTGAAATGTACTTTGATTCAAGCAACAGATACCTTTTGAATTCTTGAAAACAAGTACTCAAAGACTCTTGGTGTCATTCCACAGTTGACACTATGTCTTCGGGCGCCCCCCTCAATGTCCCCAAGCATTGTGTGGGTCTTTCCACTTCCAGTCTACATTTAAACAATTGAAATAAAAAACATGAGATTGCAACCTATCAAAAAAAATCACATAAAAATTTAATTGTCAAGAAATTACAGAGGCGTACACTTGACAAGACTAGCAGAAGAAGCAAGAATATGCTCAAAAGAACTCTACTATCCAAAAGAACAAGACTTTCTACTGTTGAAACTCAACTCATTAGAGGAAACTTTATAACATATACACAGTCCCTTAACTGTGAGTGAAAAAAAGAGAAAGAAGAATAAAACGAATAGTGATTAATGAATGAACACATTGGTGGGGGTACTGACTTGGCCATAGGCAAACATGCAGCTGTTGTAGCCTCCCATGCAATTATCCACCATTGGCACCCCTGCCACTTTAAATAGCTCCTCCTGATAAATCATCAAAATGAAACCCGTGACATGACTTTTTTTTCTTATAACATGGTAGCCCATGACATGATACAGACCAACAGAAAAAAATAAAACTAATTAGAATATACCTGGTTAACATTTTCATCTGCAACAAGATCAAAGGTAAAACGTGATTCTGGATGCCCAGTCCATGTAATTGTCTGGCAGCTATCTTGTTTGACACATCTACTATATCCTTGCAGTGATATCTCAGAACTACTCAGAGGACGTACTCTTATTATAACCTGCAATCATAAAAAAAAAAATTCCCAGATTAGTGATAAATTGTTTTCTATGACAATTAAATTAAATTGCAAAAAAGCTCAGAGCTTCCAATACTATCTTATCAATAAGTTTTACCAACTTGCACATGTTCAATAACTTCATCAATAGATCACAGTCATTGCTTCATACAATAAAAGATTCTATTTGAAGCCAAATGTTTCTGCATGGTTCTGCATGGTTCGCAGCGTCACTAGATGATTGAAGTTCATTATTTGATCATAATTTCATAGAGCCAATAAAAAAAAAACAAAAAGCAAAATTCAAGCACAATAAAGCAAAGCCAAGACACAGCCTCCTGAGGTCAGTACCTAATTTCTTTTTAGTTTTTACCCTTCATTGGGCCACCAGGAAATTTGAGAAAAACAAAGGTAATCAATTTCAACTACAATTTTGAGCATTGTCTTGGTGAGTGAAAAGTGAACATTTAACCCCAACTAAACAATGCAGTTGTATTAAGCTCATTCAGATTTGAAGTAGTTCTATTCCAACGCATAATTCAAATTTTTGTTTCTCAGGTTTATTTCATTTTTATCCCCTAAACTATTGCTACTTTCATATTTCATCCCTAAATTATCAATTTCATCTATTTAGTCTCTAATATTTTTTTAGATTTCAGTTCATATGGTCCAATTGGAGATTAATTTTAAAATTTGGACAATCTATTATACAACCAAACATCCATCTTCATACTCACACTATATTAAACAATTTATACCCTACAATCAAACACTCGTCTTCTTCTCCACCCCTCATTTCAAAAAAGTGAATTAACAAAAAGAAGTATTTGATTAAAGTTGTTTAAATTTTGAAATGACTTTTTTTCCCCCATGAAAAAATAGGCTTTATTTGGACAATTATCTCCAATTGGACAGTGTTAGCTGAAATTAGAAACTTTAAACAGATGATTTTCTTTTTTTAAATTGCGGTACTTTTGGGGATAAAAGTGAAATTAACCCTTGTTCCTCGGTTTACATTTTTCTCAGCAACCAAACAAGATGCAGAGAGAGAAAAACTAACAACTGGGAATTCGAAATCAACAGTAGTACCTGAACATTGTGATCTTTCCAGAAAGAAGGATCTTCTATCAACTCGAAGCTCTGTTTCGACGCTCTGCCACTGTGATCATCTCGAATCGCCGAGAACTGCAAGAGATTTTCCTTGGACTCTGATTTGAAGAGGTCTGGAGAACTCCGGACCAAGGGCATCGAAGACTGGTCTTCGAAGCCTAATCGGCTTTTTATCGCACTCGCAGCCTCTGATATGAACGGCATTGAAATCTAGGGTTTTTGCAAAGAGTTGAAGATGGAATTGAAGCCAAAATCTATAGTTGATTGTAGAGAGAGAGAGAGAGAGAGAGAGAGAGAGAGGGTTTGGGGGAGAGAATGAGAGAGGAATTGGGAAATGAAAAGAACAAGAAAGTCGGACGACGGTGGTCAAATCTAATTTTGGATGGACGGTCAGGATGGCTTTTGGATTTCAAATTTTGTAGACCGTTTGGGGTTGGATTCGAAAATTTTGAAAAGGTGTTTTTGAAATGTTGTAAATTACATTAAACCCCTCCAGTATGCGACTGCAATGTGTCTGTTGGGTTTCATTTTTCAAAATTTGTTTTTATTAAAAAAGTAAAATATTTTTGCACTATTTTTTTTAAATTACTTATTTTTAAAAATTTTGTAAGTTAATGTTTACAAAATTAACTCTCACTATCTTTTTAACAAATCTACTCTTTCAAATAAATACCTTAACTTACTAAAAAATCATAAATGACACTTTATTGAATCAAAATTTCTCTTTTAAATGTTTTTGTTTTAAGTGTCAACCAAACACTGAAAAATAAAAACAAAAATATTTTTCTCTATTTAAAATCAATTTATAAGAAAAATATTTTTGTGTAAAATATTTTATGTCGAAAAAAACGGAGCCTTAATATATATATTTTTTTCATATTTTAGTTAAATTTTTTATACTTTTAAATGCATCTAAAAGTTTAAAAAAAAAAATTGACTTAAAATCACTAAAAATAAATAACAATTCAAGTAAAAATCTATGTTTCATTTTTGTTCGAATTTTTAATTGTTTTTGGTGATTTTTTTTTTCTTTGGTTTAAAACATTTCAAAATATCTAAACAGCGAGGTCTTAAAAATACTCAACAAGAAGAGTAATTTTTTTTTTCTACCTCAAAAGACATTTTTTTTTTGGATAAATAACTCAAAAAACCTTTTATCCTATCGTCCACGAGACTGAGCAAATATAATTATCTACAACACTACAAACCATACTTATAAATTCAAAATTTACCTAGAAGAGTAATGTCATTTTTTATAATGAAGCATCACAAACTAATCTAAGGGTGGAGAATCAAAGGATGGAGACTTTTCACGATATTTCTTTCATGAAACCTAACATGACCCTTTATTTATTTTATCCAAATTCAGGTCAATGACTAAAACGGTGGTACGTTTTTTCTTTTTGTTCTTTTTTTCCTAGGTAGTAGGTACCTCTTAGATTCAAAGTTTGTTCTAACAGTTGGCACAAGTGAAATCATACTCATCTTTCTCTCTGTGTTTTTTGCCTGCTGGGAAAAGGAAGGAAAGTAAAGTTTCCTTTCAGGACCAGGGAAGGTCAAATTTTGGACAGGATGTTATTTTTCGCCTACACTCCAGTCGAACAAGATTGAGCACTTACTATTATTATTATTTTTTTAATAGGTTTCAACCAACTCAATTTGATTGTGTATCACATTTTTTTTAGTCACCCTGAAATCAGCTCAAACAATAGCTCGAACCATCCAAATGTGAAGGTTTATTACATGGGCCGTCTCCATAAATTTTTGCAACTGAATAATAAATTAGACAATCAAAGGGGCAACAATAGAGATACAGCAATATATACTGAAAAGAATCTTTTTTACATACTTTTTCCTGCTAAGTAAGGATTAGTGAAAAGAATTAGCTTTAATAAAATCATCTTCAGGACCAAAACATGGCATTGACATAGCAATGCAAAATCTACAAGCGTAGCTCAAAGGCGCCTTGAATATCCAGAACCTCCACACTTCTTGCAGAGTATCAATCCTGCAGAGAGAAAATGGTTAAAATAGAAGGATAAAAAGAGATGTATGTATCCAATAAGGAAAATGCCTTGGACCCCCGGTGGGGGTAACCCCCACCAACCCCACTGATTTTTGATTGGCTAAAAACTTTTTCTTTTTTTTTTTTTTTTGACCTTGCTCTCACAGCCCCCCACATGGAGGTGGGGGTGCTGGGGGTCCCCAGCAGTGCTCATCCAATGATTTCCTGGACATTCCGTACACACACATTTATACTCCTGCGGTGTGTGTAAACCTCGATGGGTGTGCAGTTAAAATTGCAACAAGTAACAAATTTTGATTTGAATTTGATCCGGGCAATTATACGAGGCAAGAATTCTGAGCAGTAATACGAGGCAATAAGTTACAGGCTTACATTGGGTATTTTGAAATTTTTTTAAATATGAGACAGTCCACACCAACCCAGGTGTGGCTTTATATAATAGTAGATAGATAATAGTATAGAAATATATTTATATACATTTTTTGGGTAAACATTTTTATATATTTACAAGTCACTATATCTCTGAGGAAATTGATCTTCATAGCTACAGGTTCAAGGAACATTATCATAAATCTAAACTTGAAGTCACAATCACAACGATAAATTGGGCATCATTTCAAACCATTTGAGTCAATTAAGCGGACATAATATCAGCCTGCATGTTTTGGTTGAATATTTGGGTTTCAAAATGGACATGAATTCACTCCATCATGCTTTACAGGGCATGTGAATTGACATAAATTTGATGTAGAATAAGTCATCATCACTATTAACAGAACAATCATTTTACAATAATAAATTAAGACCTTTTACCAAAATATGTAGAATGATAATTTAATGATCCTTAAATATCAATGCAGCAATTCCATTTCCATGGGATGCTTAAAAATCCCCTTGGGAGTTTACTGCCCCTACATAGATAGAGAATATTGCTAGCAGACAAAAAATTCGTGCACAGAAAAATATTCAAAAAATTTAATGTGTGGTCTAGATTAATTCAAGATGTGGGTTTCACCATACAAGAGTTAAATCTAAACCTGTGTGTGCATGAATTCTGTGAACATATCGTTACTGATAGATAAGATATCTGAAAATACCTGCGCCCTTGCAAACTCGACAATCAACCATGCCTGTTTCTTGCTTCATTTTACCATCATTACAAAAGACACATTTCGTCCCACCTATCCATCAGCAAAAAAAGAGCCATTAATAACTTCATATTTTCCTCTGTAAATCCCATTAGATAATTCAGTAGTCACTGTAATAAAAAAAAACAAATACAATTTCCAACGCAAAGTGGTGGATAAGCCCAAGTTACAGGTTCAATTTTGATGAAACAGTTAGAGCCCTTGAGGTACGTGCTTGCATATTTACTATAAGTAACTGGGCTTAACAAAAATAGGCACTTGAATGAATAGCCTAGGAGAAGGATAGAGCAGAAATTCATTCATCTTTCAAGAGACAGCAACAAAGAAGCAAATTGTCATGTAACGTATAACAGCCCATCTATAATCTTAAGGGACCGGCAACACAAACATTTCCTAGATGTTGAGTGGAAACTACATCAGAAACATTGAATTATAATGACCAGATGGCCAAAACTTCACTCAAGGAGGATGGGTTATTTTTCTAAAACTTGTTGTTTATGTTTGGTTTGAGTTTGGGAGATGAGTTTTAGAGATAAAAAGTACGAAAAGTTGTTTGGTTTGGTTTTTTTCAAAAGATGTTTTGGAAAATTATTTTGAGAGAGAGTTTTGGAAAAAGTGATTGATTTGATGTGTATGAGAGAGAGATTTGTTTGGAAAATTTGTAAACCAAACAAGTTTTGGGAAATTTTTTTGGGAAAATTTTTTTGGTTTAATTACTTTTGAAAACTTATTTGTAGAGAATTTTTCCCAAAAAATTTTGGGAAACACAAACCAAACAAGGCCATTATTTTTGTTTATTTTTATCATCTTCCTTAACATGTTTATTGCAGTTGGAAGGCTCTTTAATTGCACTTAAAATAGTAAATTGTTTGATTTTCTTTTCTCCAATTCAGAGGTATTTATTCTTTGTGTACTTTTTGAACTCAAATTAGCAGTTTATCTTACTATTTGCGTGAAAAACATTTTCTAATGGAAAACATTTTCTACAAAAAAAAATTTCCATAAAATATTAGTCCGGAAAACGTTTTCCGCCTTTTAAAAGTAGAAAACATTTTCTGTTGACTTTCGTTTTCCGTTGTACCAAACGCCATAAAATACATAAAACATTTTTTAGAAAAATTTGTTTCACACAAACAAACAAAGCATTAGGTTCTTTTGGACTTCATGGATACATGAACTCATAAATGCTAAAATCACAACAAAGAACTTAAATAACATCAACAACATCCTATGAAATTCTGCTTTGTGGAACCTTTTACACACTTGAGGTGGGATAGAAATACAACATGATCGTCAATACCTCATATATCTACCACCATGATTTTTGTTTTTGTGGAATTTCAAACCCAAAAATGCTATAACCACAATGGTAGATGCAATAGGATTGATAACCACACTAAAGTTTTCTGTTTTTTTCTTTTTTTCTTTCTAGCACATTTTAGTCAGGGTGTGCATGAAAGAAGTGTGACATTGTGAATAAAAAGAGAGGAAACCTTAAGCAGGCCACCAAAGCATTACAAAATAATTTAAGTAGCATCTATGTAGCTCCTGTCCATTTAAATAAACTATGCCTCAAATATCACCACTTTAGGGATATTCCCTGATGCAAACCATAAAGAGTTCAAGAAAAAGTAAATATAAAGAGGTGCTAAGATTTAGAAGCTCAATGGTTTCAAGTTGAGGCCCACTTGGGACTCACATGGTTGAGTTTTAGTATCAATGTGTCTAGTTTAAGGTTTAGTATAATGCAAAGAGATTTAGTTATGTTTTATTAAGTTTTAAGAGTTAGGGTAATTTGAGTATTTCAAAATTTTCTAGACATGAGTTGTGCGGTCATCCACAGATTGTCTTGTAGGAAAAGTTTTTAAATTGGTTTTTATTTGGTCTTAGAAAAATAGAAGGCAAAGGCTAATTTCCTATTTAGGAATCTTAGTCCTAGATGGTCAAAGAAATGTTCGTAGTCTATATAAGGCAACGTAATGCCTCAATTCAATGGAGTAGATATTAGAGAATTTTATAGAGATTTTGAATCTTATGTGGGATTGTGCGATGCAATTCTCACCTTAGGTGTGATACCTAGATTTTATCTTCTTTTTCTTCTCTTTCTTCTTATCTTCAGAAATTTTAAGCCTTAAACTCTAGATCCAGATTAATTGTAACCCCTATTAACCCACAAATGTCATAGTACCTTCACCCTAACACTTGGTTTAATAAATAAATAAAAAATACAAAAACCAGGGCAGTATTTTTCACAACACCCAAAACAGCCCCTAAACAGTGTAAAACTTCCCATTTTTTCATGCTTATACCCTTTATTACCTCATATAAATCCTCAAATTTATGTTCTACTAAACATTCAGCCATAAAACCTAATTAAAATCATACCAGAAGCCAAGATTTTCTACTGCCACATATTAATTTTGGACTCATTGCTAGTAGGCGAGTAATCCTTGTCCTACATCACTCCCATATACTTAAAACCAATTTAAGTGGCGCCCATGTAGCTTGTTTCCATTAAAAATAAACAATGACTCAAGTATAAGCACTCCTTTAAAAATAATTTAGGAGACTCCCATATAATTACTATGATTTTAGAATTTGCAAGATCGTAAGGTTGACAAGTGCACAACCCCTCAAATGATAAAATCACAATGACAGGCTAATAGAGTACTAACAGCTTACTAAAAATTTTGCTTCCTAGAAAACTTAAAGTTGCAGTCATTCACATAAAAAAAAAAGTGTAGCACTAACTGTCACACTTGTGTATATGCCACTTGATTTCAGTATTTGAGGGTTGGCACCTCATAAATGTGGAAATCAGAATGGCAGATGTAATAACACTGACTGATACACTTCTTTTCTTTTCCTTTTCAGCACATTTTCGGTACAATGTAGCATGGAAATGCATCATCCATGAATCAAACATAGAGAAAGAGGTCAAGCTAAGGATTGAAACAATCTGAGTACTTAGTGGCCTCCTTCAGCTGTGTATGGATTATTGATTTGGGGAAATTTGGAAAGGGAAAAGAAAATACAAGGGAAATGTGAATGAAATACAAGCTAATTTTTTTCTCTATTTCTCTCGTCTTTTCCTTTCTTCTTTCCAAATCCCTACCAAAATCCATGATTCAAACACAACATTCATGTAGCCATCTGTCATTTAAATATAAAACATATTTGAAAATAATGAATCAACCAAAAATGATTAAACTAAAAATAACAATAAGCTCATCAATCAGATTATCAAGGAAAAAAGAGATTACCATTGCCAGCACACCTCCCACAAGGAACAGGATCTCCCTACAAAAAGATCCCACCCATTATTCATCAACAAAACCTAAAATATAACCCTCATTCCTAATATCTACAAACAGCAAGCTTCATAAAATATAACATAAAAACTTCAATTTCCCAGAAAATGTCTTCCAGAAAAGGATTAATTTCTCTATTATCCCCTAAAACCAAATTTCTATTTCATCCCTATACTATGAGTTTCATTTACATAGGAGATGATTCTACACATTAATAACTGTTGAAACTTGATTTCATCGCAAAAAGATCATTTCAAAATTTAAACAACTTACATACACCATACAACCAACCACCTACTTTTCTTATTATTTTGAACAAATTACACCCCATAACCAATTTGATGTATCTTATAATTGTAATTACTCTCCTACTAATTGATGACAGTTTAAAGGATGAAAGTGAAATTAACAAAGCACAGTAAGAGAAGAGAAGAGAGGTTGCCTTGAGACCCAAAAAGAGGGAGAGAGCAATGGCGGCCAAGACGCTGATGGTGGCGAGGAATGTCTGGGTGTCGAGAGGGCCATCGAAGCTGCTGCTCAAAAATAGCAATGGGTGAAGAAAGAGCTTGGTTGGGTGGTGGATGAATTGGAGTTTGGAGGTTGAAAAATAAGAAGCAGTGGACAAGATGGGGATTTCTGGTAATGTTGGGACAACTTGTCCAGGAAGATGATGAAGAGAGCAATGGAATAACAGACTTGTACAAGTAGATGATGATGATGATGATGATGAAGATAGAGAGTGGAGTCTATGGAGCAAGGACTGAGAGAGTGTCGCCATGGATAGATAGAGAGAGAGAGAGAGAGAGAATTGGTAGTTTGTGTGTATATGTGTGTGTGGAGCTCAGCTTCCCAGATTAAAAAGTCAATTTTTTAAAAATAATTAGTCAATTTTTTAATAATACGAAAATGCTTAGGCTTGGTTTGGGAAGTAGGTTGGCTTTTTGGCTTTTTTGGCTATTTTAGCCTGGGTTAAAAAGCTTGGTTTGGGAAGGGCTTTTTGGCTTTTTGGCTTTTTTGACTTTTTTTGTGAGAGAAGAATGTAATGATTATAGGTTGGATGTGATGTTTTGTTTGTTATGGCTAAAATAGCCTATTTTGTTTTTTGTGGCTAAAATAGCCAAAAAAGCCTGAAAACCATCTTGCCAAACAGAGGCTTAGATACCTATCAGGTTTATCAAAATTTTTATTAAATATTTTATATAGACGTGAGACACACACCATATAAATTTCATGCGAGTCCCACTTTCATGTAAAATATTTGTTAAAAAATTTAATAAATCTTTTGAGGCCTCTAATGTTACTCTTAAAAATAATTATCAAAATTTATACCTTAATAGTAATTAAAGTTGATAAATTTGCTATTAATTTGATTTTTTTTTTCCAACCTTGATTTGTTATTTCTCCTTTCAAATTATTCTGGATTAAATCCTTATTGTAAAATAAATACTTAATTACACTTTAGTATCCCTATAATTTTACAGAATAAATACACTTTTGTTCCTATAGTTTGATTTAAATTTTATTTTATTCCATCTTGTTTTAATTTAAACAATTTTGTTTTTATACTTTAAATGTAATTTTAATTTGATAATTAAATGAAAATATCAAATTAAAACTAGACTTAAAATATAGAGACTAAATTGTTCTAATAAGGACTAGTAAATTTTAAATCAAATTATAAAAGGCAAAAGTATAATTTATCCATTTTTATGGAATTTTTTTAATCCCTCAATTTTCAATTGTTTGTAAGAGTCAAACCTTTTGTAATGTTATGTTTCCGTCCATTTACAATTAATGAGATTGACACAAATTAAAGCCAAGTTTGAGAAGTCGCAAATAATTTATCTTTTTATTTTTTTATCTTTTTTTCATCACATCATTTCTCTACTTTTCTGCACACCTTTTCATAAAAAGACAAAAAGTACACTTATTTAAGTCATTCCAAACAACTCCTAAGAGTGAAATGACTAAATGGGATTTTGATTAAAAATATATATATAAAGTGAAATTTTAATAAAAGTAAAAGAGCTCTGATAATATTAAAAAAAAAAAAAGATTAATCGCACGTTACCTCCTTCAGATTTATCTCAATAACATTTTACATATAACTTCCTTGCACATTAAGGCCATGTTTGTTTGGACGGACTGGATTAGCATTTTCATGACTAATAATCCTAGGATTACAAATCCATTGGATTATGCATCCTATCTTAACTAGTAGTCAAGTTTAAAATAATTAGTCCGTACTTCAATTATTTAACCACATATCAGATTAATAAATTTATTAGACTATTAATTCAATCCCAAATTCATGTCTACTCAAACAAACATGACCTAAAGTTCCCGGGAGAGATAGTGGCAAGAGCTTCTCTTTATAAGTGATTTTGTTTTTTCGAACCAGCTCTTTATAAGTGATTTTGGGCCGTGCTTTGCGAAAGGTCCATCGACCTCCTTCACATTTTTAAAGTGTATATATGAACTTTTTTTTGTTAGAAGGATAAATTATACTGATACTTTTTTAGATTTATATTTATTATAGTTTCTTCTCTTACTTTTTAAAAATTACATCTTTTCTCTTAAGATTTAAAGTTTTATTATAGATTCCTCCTTCAACAATTTAATTTTTTTAAATACTAATTTTGTCCTCACTAGGTAAATTACATTGATATCCCTCACATTTTAAAAATTACAATCTCCTCCCTAAGGTTTAAAATAGTATTACCAATTGCCCCTTCGGTTAGTATTAGTTGAAAAAAAAATTAATTGAAAAAAAAAATTGTTAGTAAAATTTTAAATTTTTCTTTAAAAACCAATATAAACTCATTTTTTGAATTTACATTTTTTCCTCAAATTTACAAACTGAGACAACCTTTTATAAACTAAAAAAAAATATCAAATAAGTTTTTATGATAGTTTTTAAATTTTTGTAAATATAAATTGAAAACTGAAAACGAAATGGTTACTAAACAAGCTTCAGATGGTAAAAATGTCGTAAAATTAACAAATAATTAAATAAGTTACCAACGCAAGAAATGACTTATCAAAAGATTCTTAGGCTATGTATAGTTTGATTTTTAGAATTTTTTTTTTAAATTAAAAATTAATCTGGTTAAGAAACAAAAAATAAAAAATAATTATCATTTTTATATGATTTTTATCTTTCGAGTGATTAGAAATAATTTTTTACAAATTAGATTGCAACAACCATACGTATGTATATAACCGGTTCAAAAGTTAAAATGATAATTATTTTTTATTTTTTATTTCCTAACCAAATTAATTTTTAATTTTTAATTTTTAAAAAAAAAATTCTAAAAATCAAACCATACATAGTCTAGGAATCTTTTGATAAGTCATTTCTTACGTTAGTAACTTATTTAGTTATTTGTTAATTTTATGATATTTTTACCATCTGAGGCCTATTTTGTAACCATTTCGTTTTCAGTTTTCCATTTATATTTACAAAATTTTTTAAAAAATGTCATAAAAACTTATTTGATAATTTTTTTGATTTATCAATGGTTGTCTCAGTTTGTAAATTTGAGAAAAAAACGTAAATTCAAAAAATGAGTTTACATTGGTTTTAAAAAAAAAATTAAAAAATTTTACTAATAAATTTTTTTTTCAATTAATTTTTTTTCCAACTAATACTAACTGAGGGGGCAATTGGTAATGTCATTTTAAACCTTAGGGAGGGGATTGTAATTTCTAAAATGTGAGGGGTGTCAATGTAATTTACCCAATGAGGGAAAAATTGATATTTAAAAAAATTAAATTGCTGAGAGAAATGTCTAAAATGAAACTTTAAACCTCAGAAGGGGAGATGTAATAAAAATAAACCTTACGGGTGTCAGTGTAATTTACCCATGTTAGAAATAAGAATTTTGTAATATTCCTTTCATTTCCTACATAGATTTTTGGTTTATTCTTATTGGTTTCTTTACTGTTGTGGATTTCTTGCGTTTCAGCCTTTTGGTGTAGTGGTGGCAATGAGTTCGAGCAACTGTGGCAGCGGACGATGTCTTATGTGATAGCGAATGTATGGTTTTATGCTTGAGATAGACCTTCCATCCACATCTGCAAGTAGATCTGTGGTCTTTTCAAATCGCGACTATTTTTTGAGATTTTTTTGTAATTTGTAATAGTTTTTTTTTTGTTCTTCTTATACTTTGTTTTTCTTTTAATATATTGTCTATTTTTCTGCTTCTTAAAAAAATAAATAAGTAACCTCTTTTTGATATTGAGTGAAATATAAAAGTAACAGTTTCTATCAAATTTAATAGTACATGTCTTATGCATACTGAATTGAGGGTGATTTTATTTGCATACCCTACTTTGTCTCAGCATACATCGTTTGTGTCATTCAGATATCTATTTTCGAACAAAATACAAATGTTTAGATATCAACTATCGAATGAAATTTTTGCTAAAACAATTGATTTTTATTCAGAATTTGATATTCGAACCATACAAGTGGTGTGTATTGAGATAAAATATAGTGTGCGAATAGAATTACTCCTAAATCGAGTGTCTTACATTGAGTGTCTGTTGTTAGGGTGAGGCTAATAAAATGACACTTTTGCCCTCATTCGCTATTTTTGTTTTTCTTATTTTCTTTTTTACGCCACCTTCCATTCAACACTACATCCTCTCATATTCTCTCTCTATACCCCGGTAGAACCACCATTGGCTACCAAGCATCACTCCTTATCATTTCACACACACACCAATATATATATAAAGGATAGGCACTTAAAACAACCCCAACTTTCTCAATCAATAAGCCCAAAGGAGTCAATGATCTACAAATACGTTTCTTAATCACACATGTATTTTGACACACATATGAAATACTTTTGGAAAACAAAAATAAAACTTCTTAATTTTTTGAGAATGTTAGAAGGGTGTTTGGTAAAACTTATTTGCAACTTAAATCAATTTACAGCTTAAAATAAGTCATGTTGGAGTGTTTGGTAAAAATTATGAGGGATGGATTATAGCTAAACTTAAGCCATTTCAGCAATAATCTGTTGAGTTGGTTCCTAGGTGCTTTTGAAAACTGATTATGCACACAGTTGTTTGTTGAGACGTGTAATGACTTACATGCCCCTCAGATATTTCAATTATTACCAAAAACCCACTATATAAGCCTTGTTCTCAGCACTGTTCACTCGAGAGAGAGAGAGAGAGAGAGGGGCAATTTCCGGCGAGGGGCGATTTCTGGCTCCTCAACATTGTTCTCAACTCTTTCTCTCTCTCTCTCACACACACACACACATACACACACGAACCAAAGTTCTCTCTCCATCGCGCATCAACGCTGTTTCAGACCGGCAGCTAGGGTTTCACAAACGAGAGCTCTCCCTCTCTCTCTCTTTCTCCATCTCCGTCTCTCTTTCCATCGTGATTTGAAACCAGAAATCATCTCTGGCATTCACTCTCTCTCTGCCGCCTCTCGTACCTGCATGACGGCTCGCGCATCAATGCCATTTCTAACCAGTGGCTAGGGTTTCGCGAACGAGAGCTTCATGATTGGGATGAAAAAGAGAAGGAGAAGAAGGGTTTTGCAAAACTAGCTGGTCGTCAGTCTAAAACGAAGGAGAAGGAGGAAGAGAAGAAGGGGGCCTACGACGTACGGATGGAGGAGAAGAAATGGGCCGGCAGTTAGGGTTTTGTAATGAAAAAAAAATTGATTGTTTAATGAAAAAAAAATTGATTATATTAATTGACACTAAATAATAATTTTAGTATTAATTGATATTAATTAATGAAGTCACAATTAATATAAATACATGAATATAATTAAATATGTAAGAAGAGAAGAACAAGAAAGAATAG